TAGAATACAGGATTTCACACAACCAATCGTCTTCTTCCTTCGTTAAGCATTTAGTTAATCGAGGATATCGATTTTAAGTCTGTTCTCACACTGTTCAGAATAAGATGCCTTCGCACCTATCAGTAATTCTTTTTTTGTTCCATTGTGAATGTGTTTAAGACACATTTCTTCAACTTCATCTATACACCTAAATCTCTCTGTTCTCAAGTTCTTGATTTCATTGGAATCTTATCATATTTTGTACTTTTTCAATTCCTTCCAAATCTTCTACACCTCTATTTCTTTCCCTTTTCTATATTTCTTGGAAATTCTTGTGTTTGCTAGGCTTCCAGGAATTGTTAGGTTCTCTGAATCCACATGATACTGGTAATATTTGTATTCTATTGATTCTCTCCTTTTTTTTCTGTAAAATTCCTCAAATTCATAAAGTTCTTGCAGTCTCCAGACAACTTAACTTCATTGAATTTTTTCGATTGCCGGGATTCTGTAATCTTCTTTATGAAATTGAGAAACAAATTTTCGAATAAAGCTTACCTCTTTTTGTGATAGAACTACCACTGGAGATGCGTCATCGAATAGCTAAGGTAAGAGAAATCTTGCCGTATTATGCGAAACTTGCATAGCTTAACAATGATGTATTGGTGGATTGATCTCTCTGACTTTAACTTACAAAACACTTGAACATCAGCTTTCCATTTATGAGCAAAAAAAATGTCTCAATTCTACAGGATGTAGATCGTTTATTCTCAGAACCATTCGATTCTACCCGATTCCTATTTGCTTAACTCTTGTGTCATTTTTCTCACAATCAAAAGGTGATTCTCATCGACTTGTGATGTAACATAGTTACTATTTTTACGTATATTTTCAGTTCATGTTTCTATTACTTGTTTGATCATAAAAGTTTCTAGATCCTTTTTTTTCATTACTATGATATTAAGAATCTGTTGCTGCTTTATTTGACGATCTATTTTTCTTAGAACTATTGAAATTCTGTTGTGTTTTCATTCTGACATGAAACAACATATTTATTAAGTTTGGAAATTTCTATAATAAGAAAAGAACGCAAGAGAAGCATGTAGGATTGAATATCTGAAAGTACAATATGGTTCGAAGAAAGAATTGTAACACTCATACAGTGAAAATTCAGCTAAGGTTTTCTATTCGTTTTATAAATGAATAAAACGTTCAGTGTGAATAGAATTGTTTGAATTACAAAGCAATCGATTTGTTTTCTTTGTTAATATTAGAATATTGTTATATTTATCGTGATGATAAGAGAAACTACATTCTTCTTTCTGCATCCTTTGACTTCGCTTAAACTAGACAACTGAATTTAGTACAACAAGAAATTTTCAGAAAAAATCAAATATACAGTTTCTTTTATTGCATAACAGTTCATTAAATAACTAAATTAATATAAAAAAAGCAAGAACACATTTCATAAACAACAAATAAAAATAGAATCTATTGTAAAGTTTTTGTTTTTTAGAAGTATCGAATTCCAATAAGCAAAAAGTAGTAAAAATATAAGAAAGAAAAAAAACGAACTTTCATACAGATAGCTCTGAAACTTCAATAGTATTTATATTACTGCACCAGAAAATCATTAGTATAACCATGTAGCATAATAATTAATGATTTTAACACAAAATTCATATTCAAGTGACTTACATTCAATTGATCGCCTATTTAAAAAAATGTTGCTCAAAATATATTAGTCGATATTATTAATCACTCATGTGATTTTCTAACTTCTTTTAATCATAAGTTGCAAGACAGTTGTAAGTTACATTGGTGATTGAAGACAAGTGACGAAATGTGAATTGATTTTTAAACCTTTATTACTTTCATCAAAATCGTAGATACATGTAGAGGTGTAAGCCGTGCGGCTGAGCCGCCGTCGCCGCCGATAAACTCGAAAAATTTTAAGCCGCCGCCGCCGTGACAGTAGAAATTTTAGAAATTTTTAAGCCGTCGCCGCTGAGGCACTTTAATTACAGCCGCCGCGCCGCCGATAGTATTCGAAATTTTAAAATTATCGAGCCGCCGCCGCCGGCAACTATTGTAAATATCGATAACATTTCATTTATATTTTCCTTAATTCGATACTTTTACATCTTAGAACCCCAATATATCTCTTTTTCATTAACTTTTCCGCCTTCACCTTCACTTTCATGCTGGTTCTCTGACCAATCAGATGCTAGGGGTTCTAAATTGTGAATGAACCCTTAATTCTGTGTTGGTTGAAAATTCTAAGTTATCATTTTAGTTTATGTCTCTTATATTAGATATATTTAGAAATACAAGAAGAGACGAGCATTTTAAATTTTAATTAACAAAAACAAAATAAAAACAACAAACTTGAGTATGCTAAGTGCTTTTACTTATTAACAATCGTGGTGGTGATTTCTCATTTATTATTTATCCTGGCAATTATATTTATTTTTAATTATAGACTTTTTTATTATGTCTAGATGTGGAATAAAGTTTTTCCACATATGTGTTTGAAAATAAAAAGGTCAAGATATTGAAATAGGCCTTGTCTACACTACAAATTTTGACGCTGAATTAAGAAACATGATTGGTTGAACAGTTAATAAATATTTAAAACACTTTTAAAAAGTGCATTAAATTTATTGCACATTTCAGAACAACATTAAATTTGATGCACCAATCAATGTCTGATTCGATTTTCTAATGAGACTGACACAGTTTTAAATGGAGGAGTCCTCTATGATTGAAGTGAACAAAAACCACGATTCATTTCGACGTCTAGGATTCTGATTGATGCATTAACTGTCAAATGTAGACACGAATTGATGTAACACGAATTTGATATTACATTATATTCCTAGTGTAGACAAGGCCATAGACTAATATTTTTATGATAATGTAGTACTTTTTAAACTTCAAGCCGCCGCCGCTGAGACACTTTAATTACAGCCGCCGCGCCGCCGATGGTATTCGAAATTTTAAAATTTTCGAGCCGCCGCCGCTGTGCAACCTTAGAATATCATATCTGCGCCGCCGAGCATTTTTAAAAAATTTTAAAAAACTGGCGCCGCCGCCGATCAGCCTATCGGCTTACACCTCTAGATACATGTAATGCAATGAAGGTCTTATTGTTCTATCTGCATCAGCAGAGTTGATTGAAAAGTGAATATTTATAGCTAGTTATCATAAAGAAGTTCTAATTATAAATCGGATGTCCTAAAATTATTACAACACATCGTATTTTGTATATATTTGATTATGAGTAATTCACACAAAGGGTAATATTTGTTTTTCAAAAGATGCATCGCGGAAAAGCTCAACAACAATTACTAGATTAATCTCTTACTAAAATGCTTCGATGTTTTTTTTTCATATAATCTAAATAAAATACCTACATATTCTTGTTACTTCCCATTTTATTTAAAACATTAGAAACTTTTCGAAGATCTTTTTCTATTTTGTAGTGAAAATTTACTCATACAGGTTTTGTAGAGCTTTCAACAGCGTATCTTTTGAAAAAGATAATCGATAATGTATCGTTTTCTGAAGCTAAGATATAGGAAAAGTGAAGAGTTAGTCCAGCATTTTTTGTAGAACTTTTCGCGATACATCTTTCAAGAAAAACCAGTCAAACTTTTTGTCATTTAATCATGATGAGATCTAGGCCAACTACGGTGTGCTGAAATAGATTGCAAATATAAATTTTTAAATGTTATACTTAAATTGATATTGAATATGGTTTGTATCCAATTCATACACTCGTTAAGAGAGTACATTATTATCAAAAACTTTTTAAAAGCTTTTCTCAAATGTTTTTCCATTCTTTTTCATTAAACGTTCTTTTATAACTTAAGTAGGTAAAGAAGCAACATGTCTATATTGTATTTTAACATAAAACTCCATATGAACAGAAATAAATATAATTCATTGTTTATTCTATAATAAAACACTTTCTTCATAATGATGTCAACTGACTATAGTCGATATTAATCGATAATTCATACATGACAAAATGAACACAATTAAAGGCAGTCGAATCATTTTTATCATTATATCTTCACGTGTTGCTTTACTCAATTTTCTTAAACAAAAGGTAGTTTTTCTTAAAAACATGATATTTGAGTTAAATGCATAGAAAGATAGTATGAGATCAAATCTTTCAATAATGACAATACTTTTTATGCAGCACTTCGTATTTTTGTTTTCAAAAATCGTTGCCATTTTCTGCTTGAAAGATGCGATTTTTCGGATGAAGTGAACACCATTTTTCGCTTTTTCTCAGTTTATAATTGCTTTTGTGATTGCACATTGCGCCATTTTCACAGGAGCTTCATTGTAGCCTATGTATTCTTCTCGAATTTGAAAAAGTATGTCAAGATACAAGGTGTGAATTTTTGAAAACATTGAACTTTTCATGCCTGTGTTTCCCTGAAAAAGTAAGAATCAGAAAAAGACAGAGAACTCCACCAAGCATTACATACTGAGTGAATGCGAATGTGAATTTAGAAGGAAAGAATAAGCTCACATTCACACCTACATTGATCTTTTTTGTACAGTTGAAAAGTGCGTTTACTTCTGTACAAAAAGTTGTTTCTGATATGCATTTCATTGTGAGAATAACTTTCGCATGAAATTAGAACTTATGTAATAGTATCTCAAATTCAGAATCTTTTTATCTAATGTTAGTGCGTAACAGAGAAGTCTTTCTCTACAGATTCGGTACTTTTACATACATAGAAACGTGATTTTATATGATGAATAAAACATGATGATGAAATATGTCGAAAGTAACAGTGTTATATTTAAATAAGACGTATCATTCAAAACAAGATAGTAACTTGTTTCAAATGATTCAAGATGTAAAATGTAATATTTTGAGACCTTTTTATTTTTGCTTTTTGGACTCAGAAAAGTAGAATTATGTCTTGAAACAATAAGATTTTCTTGTTGCTCTGATTTTAAATTCTAGATGCAAAATAATTAATAAAAACTGTAATTTTTGTGTTGGAAAGTTGTTCACTAATGTTAACTTTCTTTTGAAACAACTCCAAGTTCTACGTTTTTTGTAATGGCATAGTGTAAAGAGATTCTCAGTTTATGGCTTAAAACCCCTATCATAAGTTAACCTTTAGTTTAGGTCGCTTTATGGAACTGAAATCTTCCAGTATACACAAAAAAAACATACTTTTCATTAAGATTAATTATCGTTGGAAACTGTGGTCCCGAAGACGAATCTTTTAAGAGTTTTAAATGACATGTGAGCCTAGATTTTATCTTAACTAGTAAAAATACATCATGATAATATTGTCTTTTCTTCTCTTGAACTCTTTGTCTTGATATAATTGTTAATTTTTCACATCAAAAAATGTGTAAAAACGAAAAACTATATACGAAAAGAAATGTAACATAAGAATCGATTGACTCTACAAGCACAGCATAATACACGAAATAAAAGAATTTGTAATGAGCTTAACATTTTGTAGAGAAATTATATGAAAATGAGAAAAAAATAGAGAAACTCTTTAGCATACATTTAATGAACGCAAGAAAAATCCAAATTCTTTTGAAATTAAAAAGAAAAACAGTATAATAAATAATTGAATATTTTTAATAGAGTTGCTACGTAATATCTGATAATATATCTTTAAAAGAGAGTGTTTATTAAAATCTACATGAATATAATGAAGATTTTTCTTTTTAATCTTTTTTTGAAGTACTCATATTCTTCCAGGTTCTTTCTCGTTCTGTCTATTAGTCGATAAAAGGATGTGAAATTTCAATGTTTTCTATATTTATATATATGTACAGAAGTACTTATGACGGTATGAGTGGAAAGAGAAGACACACACCTACACCATCGTTGGACCTATTTACTTTGAATATAAGAGACACCATCAGAAAAACTCAATAGGAGTTTTAAAAAAAGAATCAAGAGTGTACGATTGATCTCTGTTGAAATATTTGAAAAATACCAAATGTCGCAAAACTTATAGTACACCCGGTATTCATAAAGTCAAAACGAGAAACGAAATAAATAACTTTTTGATGCTGTCACCTTCTTCAAAACAAAAACAAAGAAAACACCCATTAAGAAGAGAGATTCGAAAACGAATCAGAACTTGAAACGATGTTGATTTTACAATAATTCAAATGGACTTTTCACTTTTTCTCTATATAGAGTGTTACTCCTTTTCTTTTCTCTCTTACTTTATCATATGATCCTCTCATTGCTCCCTCTATTTCAATTTATCCATTACGTGGAAGTGCCATTGACATTCATCCAAATGGTCGATGGCAACAGAATGGTTTCACTGTCGCTGGAGGAACTGGAAGAGGCAATGAAATCAATCAACTCTCATACCCAAAGGGATTATATGCGGATGATGATCAAACAATTTATGTCGCTGATACAGACAATCATCGTATTATGGAATGGAAAGTGGGTACGACGAGTGACCAAGTGGTTGCCGGTGGAAATGGACAAGGAAGTGAGGCTCATCAATTGTCTTACCTAGAAGATGTGCTTGTTGACAAAGAGACAGATGGTCTCATCATAAGCGATTATTCGAATAAAAGAGTAGTTCGATGGTCTCGTCGAAATGAGACAAGTGGAGGAACAATCATATCCAACATCGATTGCGTGGATTTGACAATGAATGAGAATGGATCTCTCTATGTCATTGATATAGAAAAAGATGCAGTGGAATGATATCGAAGAGGAAAATCGAAAGGAACAGTAGTTGCAGGTGGCAATGGATGTGGAAATCGTCTCGATCAACTCAATCGACCAACATACGTATTTGTCGATCGAGATCAATCAGTGTACGTATCTGACTCTTGGAATCATTGTGTGATGAAATGGATGGAAGGTGCAACACAAGGCATTGTCGTAGCTGGTGATCAAGGAGAAGGAAATGGTCTTATACAATTATCATTTCCTCAAGGAGTCGTTGTTCATCAATTAGGCACTGTCTATGTGGCTGATTATTGAAATCATCGAATCACGCGTTGGCCCAAAGGAGCTACACAAGGAAGTGTCACTGCTGGTGGAAACGGTGACGGAGAACAATCGAATCAACTCTATTATCTCTATAGTTTGTCATTTGATCGACACGACAATCTCTATGTCGTCGACTACGGAAATCATCGAGTATAAAAATTTAACATTGTCTCAAATGGTTAAAACATTATGCGAATGCTACTTTTTCTTTGCTTCTCAATAAATGTGATTCGATTGCTTTATATCCTCGTTTTTATTGTATTCACGTACGCGACCTCGAACTGTCTGTAACCGTTCCTAGCCTATGTTTACAGTCAATCCGGAAGACCTATTAAGGTTTTATATAGAAAAAAGAAATCAGAACCCACCCGGATGATACCTGAAAAAGAAATAAAATGACTTACTTGTCACTAAAAGAAAAAAAAACATAATTCATCAAAGAGATCAAGCGATGAGTACAGTATGATTCACTTGTTTTTACTAGTTTTTATCCAGTTTGCTGCATTTCTACAAAGAAAGAATCAGAAGCTCTTTATTTCTATACTATTTGGTAGAACATTGATTACTCTTTCTAATTATATGTTTTCATTTGATTCATAGTTCGATTGAGAATTCCTTTTTTTTTATCAAACTATCTATTCTTCATCAAATATATATATATATATATATATCAGTTTCTCAAAATATTTAATGATTTTCTAAAAATTTTTTCAAGGATATTTTAAATTCTTTATTCTTATCGAATGAATTATAGCCACGTGAATCATCGCAATCTTTTCAATTCAGTATATCGTTGAATGAAGAAAAAATTGTTGCATTGATTTATGTAATTTTAGTTTAATTTAATTTTAAGATTTTGTAGGTTAATTCGAGATTATTCGTTTAGTATCGAAAAATCTAGTTCTGCAAAAGTGTCTAAAATTCGAACAATGAAATTGAATTTTCTTCATTAATTTCAAACAGTGTCGTTTAATACTTAGTGTGACACTAAGCTTGATGGATTTATTCCATTTATAATGATTTCCGCAACAATTGGATTCTTGAGGGTGTGGGTGTGGATGTCGGCATATTGTATTCTAACACCCACACCCTTCGGTAGAATGAAGACTTGTTTTAGTTTTGATATTCTTCTTATTTTCGATATTCGTCCAAAATTTTTATTCTGAAAAGCAAAAAAAAACCAAATGATAATAGTTAAATACAATTAAAACATACCTTCTAGAGAAATATTGGTAAGAATAATCACTGGCGACTGAAGACGAGATACGTCGTTACCCATCTACGCATCGTTCACCACCTATTCTTACCCGGCATTGTCTTAGTGGTGCTATCGTCAATGTTTTCCAACACTTTCATGTTAGGATTCAGTAGAAGCGGAAAAACGGACCTTGGATCCTACCAGTTTCTAGAGATCAATTCACATGAGTTCACCAGAATTCATTTAGATTTCGTGATTAAAGAGCTTCTTTTTCCTCCTTTGTTATATTTCTTTCTTGAAGCTTTGTAAATCCTGTGGCTTATAGAATCCATGCTTGCACAACAATAAGAAAATGTGTACACTCATTTTCTATCGACTCTTATGATGCAGAATGTTTTTATTCTCGTTGCATACGTGAATATTCTTCAGAAAGTGCGCAGCAGCAATAGCATAAATGTTTTTGTTCTGGCTTTTTTTAGATTAAGACATTTCGATGATAGAAGCAATGAGAATTGACCATTTGTCCAAACTACTACTATGGAAATGGCATCCCGTCAGATTGCTCTAACAGGTAGAGCTTTAATACCAGTAGATTTAGCTCTAAAAATCTACGCTCTTCTCAATGTAACATCTTCAGAGCCAACTTCAAAGAAAAAGCTCGATCAATATCAGCTATATTTATAACATTTAATGATCATAAAATTACCGCTGATCTCAATGTATACAGAGGACGAGTGAGTGAAGAAGAGACACACCCTCACTCATCCTTTTCATGGTGCATCTTTTTAAAAAAAAACAAGTTTTTGTCACTTATCTATGCTGAGATATATGCAAAATAAAAAATTCATAATTTTTGAGGAAATCTTTTTTGTACTGGAAGAGAAGATTATTGAATAGCTTATGCCAATACAACTCGGATATTGATCATTTTTTATTTTGATACAAAAAAGGCGAACTTCAACTAAGGACAATCATTAAACGATTCAACAAAACTCTATCTGATTGCAGTTGTGAAACAAGCACATTCATTTCTTTTATCATAGTCATTCAACAAGAATCCGATTTCTTATGAAAAAATTAGTCATTTTGTCTTATGTAAAGAAACAGCCTTGGTCCGAGAAATCCAAAACAAATGATGATATTTTTATAATGACACTCGATAACAAAGTAAAGATGATAAGGAGAAAAAAAAGCTTCTGATAAGGAGGGCATACATTTTCTTTTTTTGGTTCTATTCAACAAGTAACACGTGCACTATGTCGCTCTATTAAAAAAAGTGATATTTAAGACGAAAAGAAAATGAAAAAAAAAGCAGAGATGAAAGAAGTTCTATTCAATCTATTTGAGTTTTTAATTTACCGTTCATGTTATGTGTACACTTCGTAATCGCGCTGCTTCCTCAAAACCGTATCTTCTTCATCCTTTTCTTTTATTTGTACTTGTGCGAGACAATGAGACAAAACAAATCAGCAAATGTCATGATTATTAAGTATAAATGGAATCTTCATGTAAGAAGTTTGTCGACAAGTAGAATCTCATAGTAACTAACTTTAAAAACTAGTCCTCTCAAATCTTACGTTACGATTTTACCGCAAACCCCACCCTACAGACTTTTGTCAACGTTTACTGGATATATTTGGATCATATAGATTCATAATGAACTGTTTTAATTTGCATTGTCCACGTATTTTGCATATCATTTACGTGTTAGTTAGAGAGAGAACATAGCGTTTTTCGTTCCCGATGTGTTTAAAAACCTCCACAAAATAGTGGAATGATCACTAATTTATTACGCGTCGATATATTTACTTCGCTTTTGTTCCTATTTTTGTTATGCCAACAGTATTGTACCAAATATCAAATGAAAAAATGACTCTTAAATCTTTCTTCTTGAGCTATACACGAGTATTGTTTTCTAAATATTTTTTTCCAGATTCCGATCACTATGCCATCAACTATTCTGGTTACAGGTGCGAATTCATTTATTGGTGGGTGGATTGTGAAATATCTTCTTGAAAAAGGATACAACGTTCGTGGAACAGTTCGATCCCAAGCCAAAGAATCGCAAGTTCTCGATGGTATTTCCCAGGATGATCGAAGTCGAATTTCATTTGTATACGTGAATGATATCACTACCGATTCATTCGATGAAGCTGTTCAAGGAGTTGATGGCATCATTCACGTTGCCTCACCATATCATTTTAAAGTTACGGATCCGGAAAAAGATTTACTTCTACCAGCAATCCGTGGAACTGTGCGAATTCTACAGGATGCTCATCAATACAACAAAAACAATCAAAACAAGATTAAACGAGTCGTGATTACATCGTCATTCGCTTCAGTTATCGATCCAAGTAAAGGACTTCGGCCAGGCTACTCTTATACCGAAAAAGATTGGTCTCCATTAACTTATGAACAAGGTGTTGCAGCAAAAGATGATCCATTTACAGCCTATCGCGTATCTAAAGTATGTGCTGAACGTGCTGTATGGGAGTTTATTGACAAAGAAAAACCTTCATTTACAATTGCGACTATATGCGAACCGATGGTATTTGGCCCACGTGTTGGTGGTTTTAACTCACCCGATGATTTAAATACTTCTAACACGTTAGTATGGTCACTAGTTACAAGTGGTAAAGATACTAAAGTGCCAGAAACACATGCACCACTGGAAGTTGACGTCAGAGATGTAGCTTATACACATATAGCAGCTTTAGAGCGATCGATAGACACAAACGAACGTTATCTAATAGCAGCAGGAAGCTGGAGTTTTCAAGAAATAGCTGACATTGTTCACGAAAGTAGCGTTATTCCGAAAGCTATCAAGGATATAACACCAATTGGTACAAAAGGTCAACAGCAACCAGATCATTTTACCATCGATAGTTCTAAAGCACAAAAGGAATTAGGTGTTACATACATTCCTTTTAAAAAGACGATGGAAGATTTAATTTTGCAATTAGCAGAATTACAGAAGAAATTGTGACACTAAACATGAACGGGTATTGAGTAGTTCTTCTATTTTGACTGTATCCTTTGACTATGTTTGTTGTGATTTTACGATAGTGATTTTCATTGGGATATCTGTTCAAATATATAATCATATTCTTCAGAATAAAATATGCGTGTCCAAATCAATCTTCATTCTGCTATCTATTGTCTCTCAATCGTAAAGCTAGAACATAGGGATTAGTTGCATGCAATGATCAACTTTCAATAGATTTGATATGGAAGTATCATTATATCATTCATAGTTTTCAAATGCTTAGTTACAGAAGGTGTGGGTGTGGGTGTATGTATGGGCGTAGGTGCGAGTGTGCGTGCGGGTGTCAGGCGTGGGTGAGTGTCGGAGAACTGAAGATCCACACCCACACCCTTTTTTGTACTTCAAAAAAAAAACGTAAATTTTGGCAGTGTATCACCTGGCGTTCAGTCACCTTAATGCCTACCAAAGACCAATATCGAGTCGAGTCGAATCCCTTAAAATATATGTCGAGTCGAGTCAAACTCGAAGGACTCGACTTTTTAGGTACTGCTGATAGATTTCATCAGTTGACTCTAGAGAGGACCCGATTCCATTCTCAGAATAGCGGTCAATGTGAGGAAGTGACAAGGCCTTATTTATTCCTCATTGTTCGCTATTTTAAGCCTATAGATATGAATGTATATGCTGGTGTAGTTGCAAAGATAACCCACCTCACAATCACACCGATATAATCTTACAACATTTGATTATGTTACTTTTATTCAAAATTCTTGAATGTCTTATCAGTAAGACTCTCTGAATAAGTTATCCATGTTTTAATAGTAGTCAAATGAATGTCGACGAAAAATGATTCACGAAATACATGTCGTAGAGAAATAAATCATTTAAAAAAAAAGTACTATTTAAACTTGCGAATAATTATGTAGACTTCTATCAAATCTTGGTGTGAAAATTAAAAAGAATATAGCATTGGGTAACTGTTTGTTAATCTTCAACTCCTCGTGTCTATAATAAAAACAATCCGACGAGAAATATTACGAACAAGTTTCAACAATAACGGTTTCGGCTTCATCTTTATTTTCGGACTTAATTTATGCATCTGCTCAAGAATATGCTTAGTTTATCTATAATTTGTACTTGTATACTCTTGAGAAAAATAATCGACTACTTCTTTCTAAGTTGATTTGCTTGCAAATTCGACAATCTTTACTACAGCTACATTTTCATGTTCGAAATAAACTCAAGCATATATACAAAATATCATGAGAACTATACATGTGTACAACTTTATCAAAAAAGTTCATCTAAGAGAACAATATTGTATACTAATGTAGGCAAGAAACCTTGAATTGTCGATATTTCTGTAGAAATGAATTGATAGTGTTAATCTGTTGTCTGGATGAGTGTGAAAATCAGCCTATTAATTAGCAAAATCGTTTCGTTTTTGCATTTTTACAAGTCTTTTCATATAAGAGACCAAGCAGCCATAGAAATTTAATATGTTTGTGCAAAAGCTGAGTCTTATGACTTTTTACGGACTCGGATACAAGTAAAAGTGCTGTTTTTGGAATATTAACGAAGAAAGTAGCAACAAGGGTAGCGACGATTCTTCGATGAAGATGATTATGATTATTATGACAATTAAGCCGGAAGTAAACAAAACTTTTCCTGTAAGAATTAAGGACACATTGCTTTCTATTGCATCATGCAACAGTTAACACATGGTTTACTTTGTTTATTGAAATAAATCAAACTTCTACTATTGTCAGTTTCTTTTCATTCGAAAATTTAAGTTTTATAATGTATATTTGATCATCAAAAAAATATTTTTAAAGAGTCAAATAGTGATTGAACAGTATTTTAATCAGATTTCCGTTTGAAATGTTTGTATCACACAATTATATCATAATCCGAAAGTACGTGCGAATTTTTTTAGTGAGTATATATCAATTAGAACTCAAGTTCATCAGTTAGTACAGTACGTTTAACAGACATAGAAGAGCTCGGAAATCAGTTGTTGTAGTTAGCCTCTGTTTTTTTATTTAACGCCCTATCGCTAATAATAAACAGAAACCTAATAGAACCTGAATTCTGTCTCTACTCATAAAGACATATTACCAAATTAGATTGGTTATGAATATATATATAAAGGAGATATCCTGACCGATGCTCAAATTCATACTATAGTCATAGTCACAAACATAACCAGAGGCACACTAGTTCAAAGTTGAAGTTGACATATTCCTAATCGACTCAAAATCACATCATTTATTAGTATTTTAACCCATACATTTATAATAAACTGAAGCAAAGAAAAAAAAATTGATCATCGAATCCCATAGAGATCAGTTAACTGGATGTCCAGTAGAATTGATTCTAGTTCTACTGAAACAAACCCAAGTAAAGTTATTAATGAAAATCTTTTTTCAGTTCCTATAATCAGTGAACAGTTTTTAATTATTACGGATTCCGATATCAAAAAGTTCGCTATTTTCGCAGCGTATGGGTGCAGGCAATTAGTAGACATTCATTCACACTTTACCCACTCTTGGCGTTCGAAACAATCTAAATTCAGCAAAGAACTTATATGTAAAAGTCTCTAAATAGGGAAAACAAAATATAATAGCAATGCATCTATCTAATATTAAATGCCAATACGTTTTTATTCTGATTTTTATTTTACATCTCTTTCTAAAGTTTTTTTCTTTGTTATTGACAGCAAATAACCGTGGCTTGTGCTAATGAGACTCTCAATAAACTAGATTATTATTAGTTGTAGGATTCGATTTAGTTGTTGCTTGTCGTTTTACAAAAACAATACATTTAACAATCATTTTAAATAGGACTTCACCAAATTCAATAACACCAAGTATACTCAAACCAAGCCATCTAAAGTTGTAATGAAATATGTTGCAGTAATCAATTGAAAAATAAAATGACAACTCACATTCCCGTTTGACCACCGATAGAACTGAACAGATCAACTATCAATATTTTGGCCTTCTGATTGTAAACAATGACATAATAATTACTATAAGTGATTGTTACTTTTAAAAGATTATTATTGAGATACGTGTCCGATTTAAGAGCAAAATCATCGGGTAACAAAATACTAGAAGAATTCGATTGCTTATCTAATAGCCTTTTAGCTAACGATGCTTTCTGTTTCGGTGATGGATATGAAAGAGCACTCGATACAGCATGAAAATCAGTATTTTTGCATTCCGGAGTGCATTGTGGACACCATTTTTTGTAATCTATGTCTTGAGTTTTGAATGCTGGCACAGTCATGAGCGCACATTTTTCTTCATCGGTATCTGGAATGCAAATATTGGCTGCCTTAAGACTGTTGCTGTCGACAGACCAGACATTTCGTTGAAAGAAAGGAAACGGTAAAATACAAGAACAGAAAACATTACTTATTAAATTTAAACAAGACTCTTGACATATACTTTCTGAATAAGTAACTTTGCCCATAGAATCCTTACCAAATGCTGTCTCATAAATGTCACGTAAGTCATCTTCAACTGAAGATGTGCAATTAGTATAAGGTTTAGATAATAAATTTCTTTCGGTCTTTGAAAATAAGATCGTATGAGAGAGACCTGGTTGAAGTCGAAATCCATTCTTAACAACTAATGGAAATTCATTATTTTCGTGTATTGACACAATTAAACCTTCGTCAAAGTACGACACTGGATAATAAGATTCACGTGGAATATAAAATTGCATTGATAAACCTTCGAATCCAATGTTCAACGAACTCACGTTTCGAATTGTGAATAAATTCTTCATTTTACCATTCCAGTTAAATGTATAACAATTACCGAATTGTGGCGATAACGAATGAGTAAAATATGATGAACAGTTAATGCCATTGTAAGAACAATTAATTAATATATCTGATAATTGAAATCCAAGATCGATTAATTCATTTCTTTGATTACGATTAAATATATCGACAACAAGTGGTTCAACTAATGTTTCGAGATCAACCTTTGTCACATTAATTCCTATACGTTTAGCATAAGCTAATAGTGATGCATTTGTTTTATCGTTTCTCAATGGATGAGCACTGCAAATAGTCACTGCTGGAAAAATCATGTTATATTCATTTCGAATCTCCATATCAATTTGTGTTGGATAAGACAAATATTGCATTCCGGATGTAATAATAAAAAATAACATCCAACCCAAAGCAAACATAAAACTACATATCCAAAGTATTCGATTTGATGTACTGTAAGCTTCAGCAATACATCGAAGTCCATGTGTTGTTGAAGAAGTAAGATAGTTGACAAAGATCGAACGATAACTTTGTTCGATAAATGAATATTGTTTTTCTTGATTTGTTGCTGTGTCCATTGAGTCAACTGATTTGGCTATGTGTATAATTATATGTTGTAATTGCTTTTTTATTAGCTTGCAGCAATAAAAAGGATACCTTATGAGATATAAAAAAAACCCTATGCAGTACGTATGAAAGCGAGAAAAAGAGAGAAGAAAAAAATACAAATCATAATATATTATTATTTTTGGTGACTTTACAAAGTCTTCATTAAGAATCTGTTATTTGGCATGTTATATAAACATTCACATATGGTGCTTCGAGAGATATATAAAATTTTTTATGGTTATTTGTTATATGGTTTTATTTTACAGAAAAGCAACG